TAAACCGGCAAAATGGATTTTTTTAAGTACTGTCTATACTTATGGCTTCATAATTATTTAGAGAAAGTTCATGAATCATGATATTGCCAAGTTATATAACTCTGACATTTATTTTCCCAATTTATATTGCCTTTTTTCACTTTGAAAATAGGACCTTGTATGGTTAACCTTAAATGGCCGTGTATTTTTTGTGGAGTAAGGGGTCTCTAGTGTCAAGGTCACTGGTGTGAAAATATTTATTACGTGTTATCCGAAAACGATAAGAAAAGTGATATCCGAAAGACTGATTAGTAATTTTAGTTGGCCAGTCCGGGAATCGAACTCACAAGGTCGAGATTACAAGTCTCGCGCTCTAACCGATTGAGCTATGCGGGCTGGCTGCTAACAATAATTCCGGTGCATATTATATGTGTTAATCGTAAAATTCGGTCATATCTAACGCCCGACTGCGGATCGAATACTACATGATCAAGAAGTACTATGTTTTAGATTTTCGTATTGACCGTGCATTTCATACTATGTTTTTCACGTATTTGCCGTTTCTGATAAAATAAAAAAAATTGCCATCACGTTTGAAGTGAATATTTAATATATATATTTTTTTTGGGGGGGGGGGGATATAAGAATATAAAAAGGGAGATAATTTAGCAAAAATACCTGTCAGGATCATCTGTCCTTTAGAAATGCATTAGTACTTTTACATGAAATAAGTATTTAAGTATAAAGTGAATATGTTTGAAATTAGCCGTAACCAAAAGGTTAATCAGAGCGAAAACATCTTAGAGAAATAAGGGGAATAACTTTGCAAACTATATCTAGGATTATCTGCCCTTCGATATTGCATCATATGATCATAGTAAACAAATAAACCACATTTAAAGTAAACTCGGTAGTGTCTGAGAAAATAAATGAAATTACTTAAACAAAATTCTGAGAGCGACAATACCATAATACCTTTAATCTGTTGTCAATCAGGGTTACAAATGAAAATGGGAAATAAAAGAAAAATACTTATCTATAGAGAATTTAGTATCAATTATCCTTTCAAGCCTAAAGATTACATTATATAGGAGCTCAAAACCTCGATATTTAGGTTCATAAAAGAAAACAAGTAAAACAAAAATGGCAATTACAATAAAAATAACTATAAGAATGTTAAAAAAAATATAATACTACTTTAATCATGATTTTAACATGAATTTACATCTTGCGACATTTAACGGTAGTGTTGCGACATTTAACGGTAAGGGAAATTCGTGCGACATTTAACGGCAAATGATTTTGCGACATTTAGCGGCAATGTGCGACATTTAGCGGCAAGTTCGATATTTAACATTTTCACACACATTTTCAGCAACTTTGAGAACTTACAAAAATAGATTGAAAGGGGTCATCTAAGAACATGCTGTCTGCTTTTCATTATCTAGGATATACAGGCTTTGTAACTTAAATTCTATTATATTTAGTTTCCACCCAGTGATTTCTCGTTTAAGAACAGCATATTTTCTACTTGGGGAATATATGTCCCTTGTCATGGAATGAATGAATTGCGAAGAAGATTCTTCTATCAAAACAATTTCATGAACACATCTCTTGATGTTCCTTATTCTTATGTAAACACCATTTGATATCAAAATGTCGAGAACTCCTTAACCCGGGGGGGGGGGGGGGGCGTGGGCGCTTGCTAGCATTTAAAACTACCATCTATAAATTACAATTTTGACGTGTTCGGCGACCCATATGGTTTCTATTTTATCCCTGTCATTCGAATATCACTACATATACACAAAGATTCCAAAAGATATACGGAACAGATTGAAAAATAGTAGTAGCCTGGTGAGTTCCCAAGAGAGCAGGAAACTACGCAATTCAAAAATAGTTCCAAAATATATCATTGATTAAATTTATTACAGAAGAGGGCGTTTGTAGCAGGAGCAGAAAAATTAAAACCAGACCATAGACAGTTATTTCAATCCTGATAATGATCTTGTTTTAATTCTTCATCATTTACGTACACGGAAACCCGCGTTAATATCACACATCTTTATTACCCCACCGATCAAAGACAAGTTCAAATAATATCTGCCATTTAAACACAACAGAATTAAGAAGTCAAGAAATTTATTTAGAAAACAAAAGCAATAATTTAAAATGATTAGAAAAAGAAACAAACAATTAAAATATGAATCAGTGATAATCAAAAGCAGAAATAACAAATGATTGATCAGGGTCAATTATATCGTCTCCAATTTCATCTCTCAAGCGCATAAAAAAAGCTAAACGATCTGGCACATATTCCTCCTGAAAATAAATATATATACTCACATTAACCTTTTAATCAAAGTAATCTTTTAGTAGACTTTTACATGTATTTAATTATCGTAAATTAACCGCGGTTGTTTAAAATACAAACTATGTACATAATTCTATAATATATTTTGAAATCAAACGAAGACGAGTGACTGCAGCTTCCTTTAATTTAAGCCCAGTCCCCTTTTAATGTTTATTTAAAAAACAATTTGCATATAACTTCTTTGCGCTACGTTATCAAAAGTTATAACCAATTTTACAAATTGACAATTATAAGCATGGCAATCAGTTATAACAAGCCACCTACATGCGAGAAATTATGTCAATTTGGAACTTTTAAAATCATCTGCGACCAAGCAATTTGATCATTAAAACTATAATTGTATCATATTTCTGTAGAATAATAATATATGTATCTATGTTTATGGTTCGGATCGGACTATCCGTCCCGAGAGGGTGGGGGATCCGTCCAGTTGGCGGTAAGGAGGCTTGCCGAATATTAAAAGTTAAGTAAGGGAATAGATAACTTACCTCCACATATGGGTTCTTCTTCATATATTCTATGTATTCCCGGTTTTCTTTTTCTTCTGGTGTTTCTTCTTGAATTATTGGTGATGGAGTTCTTTCTTTTGCACTTGTGTTTTCATTTGTCGGATGTGTGTATGCAGTATTTGTATTGTTGTATGCAGAATTTGTATTGTAATATGTTGAATTGGGATGATAGTAAGTAGAATTTGGATGTGTGAATGTAGAATTCGGATAGAAGAATGGTGATATGTAGACAGGGGAAGCTTTGTTTATATTGAATTTCTGTCTTCCGTATGTAGCTTCTGCCTGCAAGATTATAATATGATACATCTTATTGAAAGTACATAAAATGCATTCCAACATGGGTCGCTGTAATCCAGAAAAACCGGCACGGCGGACCGAGATTTGACTAAATCTGAATCTGAATCTGAATGTGTACACTGCAGAACCTTCCGGTATATACGCAGCGGGAGAGAGGAGCTAAGTAATTTAGTAGCACTGTTGGAGAGCTGTTTTAAAGCTCTGTACTGTATCTGCGCACACAACGGCACTATCTAAGTTATTCCAATCACTAATAGTCTTAGGAAAGAATGATTGTTCAAATTGGTCACTTTTTGAGATAATAGGTTTATAGCACTTATGATGGTTTATAGCTTGTTTTTAGCTCACCTGAGCACGAAGTGCTCAAAGGTGAGCTTTTGTCATCACTCTGCGTCCGTCGTGCGTCGTGCGTCGTGCGTCCTCCAAAAAATGGCGTCAAACTTTTCAAACAACATCTCCTCCTAAACTACATGGCCAATTGCAACCAAACTTTACAGAAATGATCCTTAGGTGGACCCCTTTCAAAGTTGTTCAAAAATTTAAATTCCATTAAAAACTCTGGTTGCCATGGCAACCAATAAGAAAAACTTAAAAAATCTTCTTCTAAAAAACCGTAAGAGCTAGAGCTTAGATATTTGGCATGAAAACATCTTCTAATGAGTGCCTACCAAGTTTTGTTCAAATCAAAGCCCTAGGGTCAAAATTGGCCCCGCCCCAGGGGGTCATTGATTTTCCCTATATGCATATAGTAAAAACTTAAAAAATCTTCTTTTAAAGAACTCAAAGAGCTAGAGCTAAGATATTTAGCATGAAACATGTTCTAATGGGTGTCTACCAAGTTTGTTCAAATAAAAGCCCTGGGGTCAAAATTGGCTCCGCCCCGGGGGTCATTGATTTTCCTTATATGTGTATAGCAACAACTTAAAAAAAATCTTCTTTAAAAAAACCCAAATAGCTAGAGTTTAGCTATTAAGCATGAAACATCTTCTAGTGAGTGTCTACAAAGTTTGTTCAAATCAAAGCCCTAGGGTCAAAATTGGCCCCGCCCCGGGGGTCATTGATTTTCCTTATAAGACTGTGTATAGCAAAAACTTAAAAATCTTCTTTGAAAAAACCCAGATAGCTAGTGTTAAGATATAAAGCATGAAACATCTTCTAGTGAGTGTCTACCAAGTTTGTTCAAATAAAAGCCCTAGGGTCAAAATTGGCTCGCCCCCAGGGTGTCTTTGATTTTCCCTATATGCATATAGTTAAAACTTAAAAAAATCTTCTTTTAAAGAACCCAAAGAGCTAGAGCTAAGATATTTAGCATGAAACATCTTCTAATGAGTGTCTACAAAGTTTGTTCAAATAAAAGCCCTAGGGTCAAAATTGGCCCCGCCCCCGGGGGTCATTGATTTTCCCTATGTGCATATAGTAAAAACTTAAAATCTTCTTTTAAAGAACTCAAAGAGCTAGAGCTAAGATATTTAGCATGAAACATGTTCTCATGGGTGTCTACCAAGTTTGTTCAAATAAAAGCCCTGGGGTCAAAAATTGGCCCCGCCCGGGGGTCATTCATTAGCTTGACTTTTTTTTTTTTTAGATATATACATATTATATATATATACATATATATTTAATATTTATATATATATATATATATATAGATATATATATATAAATATATATATATATAAATGTATATATATATAGATATATATATATAGATATATATATATACATATTATGTATATATATATATATATATATATGATATATATATATATATTATTTTATATATATATACTATACATACATATATATATTATATATACATATTATGTATATATATATATATATATAATATATATGATATATATGTATGTATATATATATATATATATATATAGTATATATATATATTATATAATATATGTACATGCATATACATATACAACCAAGTTTGTTCAAATAAAAGCCCTGGGGTTTAAACTGGCCCCCGCTCCAGGGGCCTATATACAGGTGAGCGACTTTGGGCCATCATGATGTTTTTAGTTTATGTAATTGTCCTAGTTTCTTAGGTTTAATTAGGCGTTTACCACGAATAGGGGTCAGATAGGTATCGGTGGGCATGGTGGCACCAGCCCCTCAGCCACCTTGGAAGAAGAATTCAATCGTTGCCATTTTCCTTTCTGTCTTTAATGGAGAATGCTCAAGTTGCTTCAACATCCTGGTAACGCAGCCTTGATCTCTTGATTTGTAATCCCGAGAAATAAATTCTAGCAGCCTTCCGTTGGATCGACTCAAGTTGTCTATATCTTTTGTAGGAATGGGTCCCATAAATTGAGCTGTATCAAGAGGATCTAACAGGGATAAGTAGGCTGTTTTCCTGCAGAGTAGTGGGCAAGTGTTTAAGGTTTCTCTTGAGGAATCCGAGTGTAGAGCTGGCTTTGTTGGTAATCTTCGTGATGTGGGTACCAAATTTTAGATTGTCTGTAAAAAGTGACACCAAGGTATGGATTTTCATCAACTTGTTGTAGGATATGATTGTCTAGTTGGTAAAAATTAGTGGATCGTTGTTGATACTCATAACATAACATTTTTTGGCATTGAATTTCATACCCCAAGTAGATGCCCAAAGTTTCGAGTGATTTCAGGTCTGTTTGTAGTTGGAGATGGTCTTTTCTGGTTTTAATTTGCGGTATAGGAGACAGTCATCGGCAAATGAGACGGACAGTTGATTTTTAACGCAGTCTGGTAAGTCATTTATATGGCAGAGGAAGGCTAGTGGTCCGAGGACAGTACCTTGCGGAACTTCCTGAGTCTACTGTGACTGGTTACGGATGCTTCACCGTCTACCACTACTCTCATGGTTCTGTTGGTGAGAAAGTCTCGAAAAGCCACCGGTTAATGTTTTCCGTAATACCATATAATTGCATCTTGTGAAGTAAGCTTTCATGAGGGACGGTATCGAAGGCTTTAGAGAAGTCCAGTATCATGATATCTATCTGAGATTTATTGTCGTGGTGTTGTAGTAAATCATGAAACTGTGGTGAGGAGCTGGGTTTTCACATGAGTAGCCTGATCTGAAGCCGTGGTTTAGTGAGGTGAGGATGTTTTTTGTTCAAGGTGGTCAAGGATGTGCTTGCAGATAATATGTTCTAGTAGTTTACAGGAGACTGATGTGAGTGAAACAGGACGATAATTTTCGGCAAGGTGTGAGTCGCCCTTCTTGAAGACAGGGGATATGTTTGCGGCTTCGCCAATCTGAGGGTAGTTTACCACTGTCAATTGATGTTTGGAAAATATGTCGTAGTTGGTGCAAGGGTCTTGGCACAGGTTTTAAGGACAATGTTTGGAATTTCCATCTGGACCTATGGCTTTGCTGGTTTCTATATTGTTAAGTAGTTTTCTCTATGCCTTTAGTAGTTATTTTCAGTGGAGGTATTGGTGCTTTAGCTCTAATCTGTCGATGGTTTATTGTTGTTTCCTTTGGTAAAGACGGATCTGAATTGTTTCTATAAGTATTTCTGCTTTTTCTTTGCTGCTATTGAATAGTTGTCCTTTTTTCTTTAGTGTTGTTGTACGCCAATATTGTCTTGTCTTCTTGATTTAATTAGCCGCCAGAAAGGTTTACTGTTTTTTTCTTCTAATCCTTTGATGATAGTACTGTTTATGTGTCCGATTTCAGCCTTCTTGAATTCTTTTTTACATTCACGTTGAAAGGTTTTAAAGTGAGTCCAGTTTCCAGTCTTCTTAGCATTATTGTATAAGCGGGATTTTCTTTTGACCATACGTTTAAGTTTATGATTGAACCATGGTAGAGACTTTCTTTTCTTGCTCATCTTAGATGGAACATTTTCTTCTACACTTTTGAGAATCCTTAATTTGAAGAGTAACCATAAATAATGTTGAAACTTGCGTAAAAACCGTCAGACAGACACGCAAACAGAAAATTATTTTAAAAAGGATTTTCAACCTTCAAAGAAGTTCAACCAATTGACGCGATGACACAAAACGAAATGTAAATACATATATCAGTAGTTTTATTTATTTTGAAATAGAATAATAATCATTCGACAAAAATATAGGGCTACTTACACTATAAAATGATTGTTTCGTCCAAAAATATCCATTTCCGGGTACATAATTTAAACATGTAAAGGTGTTTGTCTGCTCAGAAAGACTTGCCATTTGTAACATTTCTGTAGTTTGTATCTATCTGACAACGACGTTAGTTACGGTGACTATGCGTCGTAACGACGTCATTCTTACGATTTCCTTTTTGTAAACAACAATTCTATTGGATGCTATTTATATTGCTTTATTTGTGACGTGTCATAATTATGGTTAACTTATCCGTTAATTCATCCTTGCGATCTTATGCTGCGATTTCATACAGTATCTTTGTAAAAAATCGTTTCTCTATATTATATCTAAAGTATACAGCATGAATGATCTATTGTGTAACCTTATTAGTTAGGTCAGAATGTAAAGTTAGCCGAGCCTTTTGCAGTTTTGGGTGTTTAGTATGGAGGGGAATATCCGCCAAAAGTATATGGATCTTGATGATATGTTTATATCTGAATGTCATTCATCAATGTCTTTTGCGGCTATTTTCTGTCTCTTTTCCGTTAGGTCTTTTGAACAGAAGTCTGTATCTGTATGTTTAACCTATTAGTCTCTGTTTTATCTTCTATTCGATTAGTCCTAAGAGGACTATGTTTTGGTTTTGTCAGTCTTGTAGTCATTTCATTCATTAGTGGAGTAGCGGGGGATCGAACTCACGACCCTTGATTGGTAGACAGACAGTGTTACCACTACACCATAGCGCCCGCGCTGAATAATATCTGTTTTTGAAAGTCCTATATACATAATTACTTCAATGGCTAATAAAGGGATTTGCAATTAAATTTTAACACCTTTACTTATAGGTAGCCAACCAACGTGACTTTTTATATATCATCACGATTTAAGTAATATTTTTACAGATCACTCTCCTGTTAAGATACCCTTGAAATTAAGTTGAGTGTATCCGGAATTCTTAGGTATATCAGATGGTGTGATAAACTTTTTTTGTAGAACTTTTCTGAAACCGAGTTTCCAAGAGCTGCTATGGTATCACAAGCATGCATAGCAATCTCCCGATTTCAGACATTTAAGGCAAATAAACGGGCTATTTTTACAAAATGAAACGTTTTAAGTTCCAAGAGAAACTTGTCATTTGATTCAATTTGATGATAAAAGAAAATTGATATGATCGTTAACACTGCAATTTAGATCAAAGGGCTGAAAGCACTAATTGCGATTGATGAACTTAAGCTATTATTGCCCAAAGTAAACAAACTACAGAATGCGACATGTCATTGCTTCATATTTAATTAGTGTCCTATACATCTCTGCAGTTATGTAAATTAAAAGCCCCCTGAAGGTGCTATATGACGTATATGTTATTCTATAATGTTGCTTGTAATCTCGATATTGTGGGTCTGATTCCCGTGCTGACCAACTAACATTACTAAACAGTCTTTCGGACGAGACAATAATTCGAGGTCCCGTGCATGAGTTGTATTATATTGTTGTATTATATGGGGTAAAGGAAATACGAACTACATATATAATGTTTGTAAAAATCATTTTACAGCAACCCCAATTTAAAGATCTCCGTCAATGTAACTATTCGAATCTCGTAACTGGTTACCATGCCTTGATATATATAAATACCACACGGCGTTACTCTTAAATATGACATAAAAAAACAAAAACAAAAAAACAACAACATTAAATTACATGGCACAAATGTAACACAATTGGTGACTTTATCAGACAGCAAAATGTACAATTTAAGACCAAACTATATTGAAGACATTTTCGTCATGGCATGAATATTTGGAACAGTATACCTTTAAATATTCGCTATGTTGACAATCATAAATTCACTCACTCACTCATTCCTACAGATTTTTTTTTCTAGGAGTGAGTGAGTGACCGACCGACCGACTGACAGTAAATTTAAAAAGCAGGTAACATATTCTAAGTGTGATTATACAGTATTCGGTTTGGTGCCTTCTGGGTACCCTACTTTGGTGTGTCGGGGGCTGCGTCCTGTGAACGTTGCCTTTGCCTTGTTGATCTTTATTCTTGTCTTTTCAAGTAGGAAAAAAAATCTGGAAACAAAGTGATCCCTCGGAAGCATTAATCACAACAAAATTACATAAGAACTGCAGACTCGGTTTGATTGAGTCTGTACATGAGGGATAATGAATAGGTTAAGATAATGAAAAGGGGATCTGAGGTTATGAAAATCTGGAAACAAAGTGATCCCTCGGAAGCATTAATCACAACAAAATTAAAAGAAAATTGCAGACTCGGTTTCTTTAGGTTCCTCAGATGTATGTTTATGTTGTTTTATACTGTTATGGTGACACTTTTGTGTCTCTTGTTGTTTCTCGTCTACGGTAAGTATCTTCCCCTTTACCCCTAGTTTTTATTTATCCCCCCTCTTCCCCGGGTCTCATGTCCCCTTCCCCTGTGCCTTTTTGACTTTATGGGCCTAACATCCAATCATTTATTTGTTTTCTTTTAGTTTCTTATCAGTTATTAATTATTTATTCTTATGTAGTTGTTTGCCTGCCTGTGCTCTGCCTTATGCGGCTGTCCTATTTTTGGATAAGGTCCTCCTGGGCTCCTTGCCACTGACGCTTGTTACTGGGTCGGGTGGGGGCTGCGTTCATTGAACGCCGCCTTTCCTTGTCGATCTTGTTTATCATATTCTTTAGGGATTCTTATTTCCTTCTATTTGATTGAGTGTCTGTTCATAAGTGCGACATCCCTCACGCCCCTAGAACCGGCTTGAGCGGTACTCAATTCTCAACACTCAATAGTGCTGGCATCAATGATCCCGAAGGACCAGAAAAATATAACACTAAAGTGAAATCGGGGCTTTTTACAGCTGCCACACGGCACTATAAGAAATAGAGAAAAACCGAATCCTTAAAGAAAGTCCAACACGGCAAAATTGTAAAATGTTGCAGGCTCGGTTTGATTGAGCTTGTTCTCAAGTGCAAACTACCGTCCACGCCCCCTAGCACCGGCTTTTCGGGGGCATTCGTCACTTTGGTGACAGCTCTTGTTTTACTTGGGGACGAAATGCCGCTTTTCATGGAATGGCACTTACGTGTTGAAGGTTCCGTGATAACCGCCATATGAGCACATCTGCGGATGTTTCAAAATTGTACCAGTTCATGTTAAACATCTGCTTAAGCCGGTGCTAGGGAGCGTGAACGGTAGTTTGCACTCGACAGTACCGTCCATGAACAGGCTCAATGAAACAGAGTCTGCAACATTTTCAATTTTGCTGTATTTGGCTTTCTTTGGCGATTCCAGGTTTGGTGCACCATTAACCGGTTTAAACTCCCCAGCAGTATTTACGCTGCTGACCGTTCCAAAGCAGCGCCCCTCTGTGTTCCTCAGATGTATGTCTATGTTGTTTCTTACTGTTTTGTTGACACTTGTGTCCCTTGTTGTTTTCTCGTCTACGGTAAGTATCTTCCCCTTTGCCCCAAGTTTTTATTTTGTTTGGATTAATGCCTCCGAGGGATCACTTTGTTTCTGGCATTTTATTTATCCCATCCCTTCCCCGGATCTCCTGTCGCCTTCCCCTGTGCCCTTTGACTAATCTTGGATAAATTCAAAATCAATAACTTTCAAGCTTCAACTGTCAGTACATACGATTTTTCTACACTTTATACAACTTTGCCACATAAATTAATCAATGATAAACTAATTTCCCTAATTCAGAAAACTTTTGTACGGGAAAAAGTTACCTTTCTAGCATGTAATTCTAACAAAGCTTTTTTTACTAACGGTATTGTTAAACATTATACTATGTGGACCTGTGACGAAGTTTGTAGAGCACTCTCTTTTCTTTTAGACAACATTTATGTCAGGTTTGGTAATACCCTATTTAAACAGATCATAGGAATTCCTATGGGTACTAATTGTGCACCCCTGGTCGCCGATTTGTTTTTGTACTGCTATGAAAGAGACTTTATGTTGAGTCTCTCTGAAGAGAAACAACAAGATGTTATAGTCGCATTTAATAATACTTCCAGATACCTTGATGATATTTTTAATTTAGATAATCCTTATTTTGATCAAATGGTGTCTGACATTTATCCGCATGAACTACAACTTAAGAAAACGAACTCTTGAAATTTTAGTACTTCATTTTTGGATCTTCATATTACTATCAACAACAATTCTATTCACACGAAAATTTATGATAAAAGAGATGACTTTGACTTTTGTATAGTTAATTATCCACATTTGGATGGAGACGTACCCCATGCAACATCCTACGGGGTTTATGTTTCTCAGTTAATTAGATTCGCTAGAGCTTGTAACAACGTAAAGGATTTCAACGAGCGGAATATTTTTATAACCAGCAAGCTTCTAAAACAGGGCTACCGCTATCATAAATTACGGAAATATTTTACTAAATTTTACAATCGTAACTTTGATTTAATTTCTAAATTCAATAGTGATTTAAAAACTCTTCTGCGACAAGGGATTAGCCAGCCTGGTTTTTATGGCGATGTGGTTTACAAACTTCGTAAGATTTTGGGTCATGGTAATTTTTCTGCTGTTTTTACTAAAATCATTAAACGTTTTATTAAAAGAGGTTATGACCCTACTATTTTAAGACATATTGCATGTTTAGTGTTCAACCCTTTTACAGTTGGACACTACGCTTTCCTCTTTTGATTGCATCTGACGGACCAAGTGGGAGACTCTATGATGGATAGTTCGTAAAGCCCTCTGGGACTGAATTGTCTTAATGTTCGTTTTCTGCCTTGCTTCGTCGGGCCCTTGTAGGTGATTTTCTTGTTGCTCTGTCTTCCTTTAGGACATTGAGTATTTTTGTTATGGTCATTGGGTTTACTTTTATATGTTTCTACATGATCATTTTAGTGTTTTACTTATTTAACCTTTTGTAACCATGACAACTGTTACAATTTCACTTGGTGGGGATTCATTTTATTTACACTGTCTCGTTTATAGGAACATGGTGGGGTTAAGAGCGAGGTTTGGTGCACCATTAACCGGTTTAAACTCCCAGCAGTCATTATTATGCTGCTGACCGTTCCAAGGCGGCGCCCCACTGTGTTCCTCAGATGTATGTCTATGTTGTTTCATACTGTTTTGGTGACACTTTTGCTTGTGTCCCTTGTTGTTTTCTAGTCTATGGTAAGTATCTTC